CAAACTGTTTTACAGTTACATCATTTCATTTCTTGTTTTACCTCCCAAGATAATTTATAAGCTTCTTAAAGACAAGTTCTATATCATATTTCTCATTTACCCCTCACAAAAACCAAGATTGGATACTCAGGGACCTAACACATTCTTAATTCATTTATTCCTTTATTTTCAACTCAAATATCTGACTTCCTGTTATTTCAGATTAAACCACTTTACAGTAAATGCTCAGGTCATGGAAACTTTTCTTGTTGCAATGAAATTTGATTAAACACACACACACACACACACACACACACACACGAGTCAGAAATCACTTTTTTTTTTTTTAAGCTGAGCCATCCTGCCACCTGTTGGTAGCTCAGCGGTTGCTCAGCTTAGGCCAGGCATCGAACCGCTGTTGCTCAGAAGTCATCTGTCCAAAGTCAAATAAAGGCCACTGAATGTAGAAAGATCATCTTCATCTCATTCCTTTCTTCTTCCATTTGTCATTTTGCTGTGGCAGTGATTTAGGAGAATAGGGAGATTTTACTTAAGTTTGGAACACATAGGGGAGGGGGAGAATCAAAAGATTTACTGCTACTTGATTGGGAGAACATGTATCAGTATCAACATATAATAAATTTCCTCTCAGATTTCCAAAATAATATAAACTGTTGAATTTTTCTCTGGCTTTATATAACACCCATCTCTATAGATAGAAAACAAATCCCACTCCCCAGGTTTTCGCATCTTATATATGACACCACAATCCATCCAGTTACTAAACCCAGAAATCCAGCAATCATTCTTGATTTCTCTTTCCCTTCTTTCCTCACATAAATCCATAAGCAAGTCCTGTCAATTCTATCTCCATAACTCATATTGACTTCTCTCCAGCTCCACTGTCATCTAGCCCACTCTATCTTGGGTTAAAATAATAGTCTTGCTAACTGGCATTCCATGCTTCCCTCTTGCCCACCATCCTCTTCTGAATCTATTCTCCACACAGGAGCAAAGTGATCTTGATATAAATAGATCACAGTTTCCCTGCTAAAAACTCCTTAATGGCTTTCGAAGGCACTTAAAATAAAATGTAATCTCTTTGTCAAGGCCTGTACTGCAAGGAACAGTGATATCTGGTCCTGGACCTTTCTCTTCAATTTCATCTCACACCACTCTCCCCATCTGTAAATGCACTGCAGCCCGCTACCAGTCTCAGTTCTCTCTTTCCTACCTCAGGCTTTTGCACCTGCTGTTCCCTGCTTAAAATATTCTTTCTCCCGTTCTTCATAAGGCTAACCCTTCTCATTTTTTAGGTCTCAGCTCAAATTGTCACCACCTCAAAAAGGCCTTCTCCAACCTATACACCATCCTCTCCTCAAACAGAAAAAAACTCTTCTCTATTTTAGCCGCCTTGTATTTCTTTTTGTAATATTTTTTGTCTGGCAATATTTTCTTTATTTGACAATTTATTTTCTGTCTCTACTGCTGAAACAAGAGCTGCATAAGCATAAGGACATCTGTCATTTCTTTGCTGTTATCACCAGCAACTGGCATAGAGCTGAGCTTATAGCTAGTACCAAATCTGTGCCAGTCTTTTTTCTAAGCATTGGGAATACAGCAACAAACAAATCAGACAAAAATCCCTCCCCTCATGGACCTAACATTTTACTGGTTATTTAGGTAATAAAGTAAATTATATAATATAGTCAAAGGTGACAAGTGCGGTGGAAAAAAATAAAGCTGGGAATAGGCAGAACCAGAAAGTTGCCATTTAAAATATGGAGTCAGGGAAACCTCACTTGGAAAGGTCTTATTTGAGCCAAGATCTGAAGCAACTGAAGCAAACATCATTCCAAGAAAAGAAATAGTAAGTGCTGACACCCTGAGTGTGAAGTGTGCCTAAAATGTTTGGAGAATAACAAGAAGAATATCATGACTTTGGGTGGTTAACACACAATGCAATATATAGATGATGTATTATAGAATTATACACTTGAAACCTATATAATTTTATTAACCAATGTCATCCCAATAAATTTAATTTTAAAAATGAACATTTGAAATTAAAAAAAAAAAAGTTTAGTTCAGCCATGCAGAATTTGAGATCTCTAGTTGACATCCAAGTAAAATGTGGAATGTGTAGTTAAATATATGAGTATAGTAAAGAGGTCTAGGTGTAAGATAAAAACGTTGAGAGTTATTGGTGGGTACCTTTTTGTGTATATGTATTTCTGTATATAGAACTGAATGAAATCACCAATCGGTAAGTAAACAGAGAAGTCAAGCCTCGAGGGTTGAGACACAATATTACATTTAGAGGAAAAAGATGAGAAAGAACCAGCTAGCGAGAATGAAAGAATGACCAGTGAGACTAAAGGTAAATCAGGAGAGTGGTATCCTGAAAGCATGTGAAGAAAGTGTTTCCAGGATCAGGGACTGATCAACTCTGTAAAGTAATATCAGGACTGAGAATCAACCACTGGATTTAATCATTTTCCACTCTATCCTTTAATTATTCTCCATGCCTATCAAAACCCGACTTAGAAGTCAAAACCCATTTAGTTATACCTCTTTCAAGAAACCTTCCTAGACTGGACCAGCCCTCAATAACTTCCTTCCTATCAGAACTCAGACTTAAAATCCATACCATACAACTGTGCACTCATTTATGTTTTAGCTGTTTATGTTGTGTTTCATGTAATCTGGATGCCTTAACTCTAAGCCCTTTGAAGGGAAAGAACTCCTCTTATTCTTACATTTTACTAAAATACTTAGTACAGCACTGGTAATTCTCAACACATGCTTATTGATCTGTGTAACCTAAGTATACAAAAATGTGCTACTTTCGACAAAGTCCGCCATCCACTCAGCCTAGTATATATAATCCTTGACTATTCAAGCAGTTGCACATACTTGTACTTAATAGACACTTAATAAATGTTAGGTTGAATGAAGGAAGGACTGCATGCATGCATGAACAATGAAAGAATAAAGGGCATCTTTTATAAGGTTGAGGAAAGGGGCAAATTGTAGATGGATGTAAATAATCAACTTGAAGTTACAGATCTTAAATCCTTTCTGCTGCCATCCAATTCAAACTAACTTATATATTGGCCCAAGGGACTGGGAAGGATACCAGGATAGCTGGCAGAATCAAAAGAAAAACACTCATATCTCATACTACAGTCCCTAACTGAAACAAGCAATCTATGTCCATCCATCTTCCATTTCTATGTGGCTTTACTTTCTCCTACTACAGATGGGGTTCTCACAAATGTTGAGAAAGAATGTCACTAGCACCCTCTCAAATTAACAACTTTAGAGAGAAGGGAGTATTTTTCTCCTAGAATTCATACATCAATTTCAAAGGATTCTGATTGGGTCAGCTTGAGTAACAGGCAATCACTGTTGCAATAGGGATGACTAAGCTTGGGTTATAAGACTATAAGACTGATTGACAGCCCACCAACCACTCACATGGTTCCCCAAATGTAGAGATACAGAGTTGACAAAAACTCTGTGTGTGTGTGTGTGTGTGTGTGTGTGTGTGTGTGTCTTCCACCAGCCACAACCTCCAACACAATTTTAATTGACGTTTTACATTTTCAAATTGTCTGACTTTCTATAAAGCCAATATTTGTTTTCAGCTATTGCTATTACCACTTCTTGAAATGAGACCCATATGAAGCTCACTTAATTTTCTTAAGCTTCACGTCATGCACCTTCCTTCTAATATTCTAACACTTGTTTCATACAGTCATACTAATCACAATTTTAAATTTTTAGTCAGACTTTGCTCACAGTTTTTCAAGATGGAATAATCCAAATCATTTTGGTCAGTCATCACATAGCAGCCTCTTTTTACTTCATTATATTTGAAGCTTTCATTCTTCATCATATTACTTTGTCTGAGTAGTTTGGATTAAACACAGTAAAGAAAATTCTTAGCACTCAGCATTTACTTTCTCAGTTCCAGAACAACACAATACCCATGTGAATCTCATGTGGTAAGAGGTCAAACAAATGTTATATAGGAAGAAATTACACAGGCAAATAAACATATATGATAACCTGGTATCTCAATTCAGCTTTGTTGCTCTCTACTCATGGCAGTTGTTAGACATTAACTTCTAATAAAATTAAAAACCATGCCTTTGTGAAAAATGGCTCTGAAAAGAAAGCCATATGCTAGTCAAGTTCATGGAACTAAAGTAACAATTTAAGTTGGTATTGTCTATTTTGGCTATTTTAGTAGTTACATACATATTCTTACTCCTAATTTAGGATTATACTTATGGGTATACTTACTGCATTTGATGAGAGAAATTACATGATACTATGGTATCCCAGGACCTACCCAGCACAAACAGCAAGAGACTCTTGCGCTTCAAGACACTTGTGTTTCAGGGTTGGTTTTTTTTTAACAAGTGTACAATATTTTCCATTGAGTTTTCAAAGTTTTCCTTATAATACCATGGATTTGTTGGCAGATATTTTCCTTCTTTTTGTCCACACTAAGATATTTAGATGATTGTCTCCACAAAACCAGTCATAACTCTATAGTGATTACCAAGTCTTTTTGACTTATAATGTAGATGCCATTAATCATAATATAAACATACAATAAACAGTTTTTCTTTAGGTACATTACTTTGTGCTTACTAGAGCAAAACACAAAGATTCTCTGGCCATCTATATAGCTTCAAAACATCTTCTTACCATATTTATCTTCATCATTTATTACCCAAAATCCCTTAATGCCATCTTTATATTTAGAAGAATAGTTAAAATCATCTTTAGATCTCTAATGAAATGTTAAATAATAAACAGTGAAACCAAAAACTACTTTGCCACTTACATTAAAATAAAAATCCATGTGTATTTTATTTAATACCAAAAATAAAATTGTAACTTAGGAAAACTCATATACATTAACTGTTTTAATTTGTCCAAGATTAAAGCATATTAACTTACTACTTAATAGACTATATAATGTAGTACTTCAAATTTTACCATACCTCTTTCTTCAAGGAACAAAAGGCACACAATTTAATGCTTGGACAAAGCCACAATCAGGAACAGTGATCAAAAGAGGTGATATCTGGAAATAAAGATCAAAATTTTAAAACTGTTAGTAAAATATTTTTATACCATTTCAGTTATGCTTCATTTTCAACTTATGTGTATAAATTTGGAAAAATAAACCTCTCTGCACTCAGGCAAATAAGTTATCATTGAAACGCAGTGATAACGTCACAAATTTACAAAAGTCACAAAACTCAAAGCTTAGAAGGGAGACTGGAAGAGATCTAACTCGATATCTTCATTTATTACATGACCGGAAAACGAGTCTTGCCCAAAGTCACAAAGCTAGAACTAGAATCTGGATTTGATTCCACCCATCTATTCTACCACCACAATGCAACCTCTTAATACTCACTTCTGATACCTAACATCCCATGAAAATTGCTGACCATGTGAAACCAATCTGCCACACAGAACTGAAATACTCATAGCCTACACACCTGGATCAGATAACTAATAAAAATTTCAACTTTAACTTTTTTCTTCTGCATATAGAGCTTTGCCAAAAACCTGAGTAGAGTACTGCAGGAAACTGGGCAAGATTCAAGGTTTTTATCATTTAAAAAAGAAAAACAGTTGTATTAAGTGATCTAAAGCACACAATGCTTCTTCAATAAGAAAAATTCCAAACAGAAAAGTAAACAATAAAAGTACATTAAAAGGGCATGTTTAAAGTATATTTTAAAGTCAAGCTGTATATTTATGCTAAAATATATCCCCTATGGAATGTTTCAAGATATTAAAACTTTTGGGATCACAGTATGCTATTACCAGAGAGGATAGGATAGGATTTGAAGTGTGATGATGATAAAAATCTCAAGCATTTAAAAGCTCATACACTATCAATGTGCACAGTAGGTATTCATTGTGATTGCTGTCCTTTTATCCTTCCATAACACCAAATATAAAATTCTCTGAATTGATAGTTACACTTATTTTCATGGCAACAATAAGGAAAAACCTGAATGTGCAAAAAAGGTTGTTAGATACCTATATCTTATCCCTCCCTCCCCTTTTGTTAACAATTTTCTAGATAAGGGGCTCCTATTATTTACAGAATTTTAACAGAAATTAAGTCTACTACGCTGACCCTCCGTATGAAATACTAAAAATTTTCATATAATGCAGTGTCTCTATGAATTTCAGGAGAGTAGTTTTGCTGAAAGATAATGAATCCATTTCTATTGATTAGCAATGGAACTCTGAAAAATGTTAGGGTATTTCACGGAATTATCTTAATCTACCTATTCAACCCGAGGATGTTAACTTGAGAGTGCAACTCAAATCAGATCTCTTGCTGCATAAAAAACAATTCAACAATATAAGGAAACTAAGCCTAACACGCAGCTGCTCAAGTTGATGAAATTCCTACCCTGATGTCTTCATGTTTTGTGTCTTCATGTTTCATCGTGACAAGTGTACAAAGTTCAACATTCATATGAATTCCTTAAACACTGACTTTATTTTTCTAGGGAGTTTTTAAACTTTTGATAACCAAACATACCCCACGAATGTTTTCGCTAAAACAGCTTACAAACACTAAACGCCCCCAAATTGAAATCCAAGAAGAAAACTGAACCTTAACTTTTACATTTTTAACCTTAAAGCTACCATATATGTTTCGTTTGTCTACTTAAGAGTTATAACATTTTACCCTACATACATTCGCCCTATTTTCAGTCACCACAGCCATCTAGGAAGAGGCCATTTATACTTGACAATGAAGACACCATGTTGAGAGACTCAAAATGGACCCTACAAGTGAGAAAGCCGGTTACAAAGAAATCCATCTGCCACTGGGTGTGGTTGAGTTTTGCAGGGAAGACGCCTTTAGCCAACACTGCAGGAAGGAGCGCGCGTCAGAGAACTGAGCGTATCTGTAAGAAAAGACCTCCAAAGACCACAGACTGGACCCACAATGGGAAAGCCGTCGAGTAGGGCTGCAGTGGGAATGCGAACCTACAGCTTGAGGGGTGCAGTCTGAGGGTTGCCCATGTTGTCTCCACTAGCCCCGGAACGCGCCGAGCGGGTGCTTCCAGCGCCGAGTGGGTACTTCCAGCGCCGCGCACCCGGCTCCGTCCCAAACACCGCGCCCGATCCGCCCCTTCCTCCCGGGCTCCACTGCCCTTCGGGCGCGCGGAGGCACACCGTCGCCGCGTCCCGCTCCACCTCCTAGACTGTGGGACAGCGGGGAGTTGAAAAAGCCCCGACGTAAAACAAGCACATGCTAAGAGGCGGAAGGTTAGTTCTAGCAGCCTGCAACAGCACCGAGTAAAAAAGCCGACTTTCCTAGAAAAACTTTGCGGCAAGTTAGGCAAAAGCGCTGAATGGTCGGGACTATTTAACAGGCGCTTCCTAGCTCAAGAGGCGGATCCCTGAACCGGTTCGGGGGGATTCTGACGGCCCACAAATTCGCCCTTTGCCCCCTGGCAGACCCTCTAGAAGGCCCTGCATCCTAACAGATCTTGGCGGCCCCACTCACTGGGAATACCTGTCGTGCTCCCCATTGCCTGCGAGTCCCTGATGGCGGCCATTACACTTCCATCCGGGTATTGCCGGAAAGCCGATCACCGCGCTACCGGGAGCACTCGCTGAGGCGGATGGATCCGCGCTGCACCTGGGGGAAGCGGAAGAGGACGGAGGCCGGCAAGGTCCTTGCCTCGGCCTGGCGAGACTAGGCCATTTAACTGAGTTCCCCGCTGACCTCTCAAATTAGTGCGCTTCCCCAGTGCCTGCCGCCCCAGCGATTGATTCACTCTTTCCCTTTGCTCACCAATAGCTGGAAAGATCCTACTGCCAATGTAATAATAGAGAGACATCCATTCTATGCTCTTCAGAGTGGACACCATAAGCAGGAACTGTGGTCTGGGCAAGCCCTTGCTGACTGGGACTTGTCTTGATCCTGGGATTTCAATCACTTCCGGCTTTGCAAATGGCGCCTCCCCACCCCTTCATTTTGACACGCAGGTTTTGCAGCCTTTGCAGCCCATGTCAATAAACGGAGCTGCCACAAGCAGCTCTGGAAGACAGAGTGAACTCTAAACATGTACATTAATAATTTATCTGAAAACTATCCTTACAAAGTAGGGCCCCATCCCCGCCAAAAGATCCCTCCGCATGTAAGGAAGTCTTACTCCACGCCACAGGACCGGCCTGGGACAAAGAGGTCCATTAATATTATGATTGGGTTTCTCCCAAGGGCCCGTATGGCTCCTTCTCTCTTCTTTGGAGCATTTCTGTAATCCAACTTATTAATTGACCTCACTTTTTACACAAATTATTTAAGATATGGCGGAAACTAAGGCGGGGAAAAAAAAGACGGGGTTGGAGGGATACAGCGAAATATTAAAAGCGAAATTAGAATAGAATTTTGTTTTTATGTCCCCAATTTTTTTTTTTTAGTAAGTACACATGGCGTTTATAATCCAAGGAAATTTTATCATAAGCATTTTTTTCATTGTCTTAGAGTAAGCTTTTGAAAATGTCGACGTACAGCCGTACACAAGATTTTCTCTCTGCTTCAATAAAAGTACGGTAAGTGTCCTCACTTTGTCCTGAGGAAGAATTCTTCTTAGCTCACTGTTGGTCTATGTGATTCCTCCTGGAAAAGGCAATTAAGAGGTAATCCACATTCGATGTGCTTCATGTATCTTGTGCTCCTATGCCTTTATAAAACACACCAGGAAAAAAAAAAAGTAAAAAAAAAAAACCAAAACAAAAAACACACCAGGAGAAATCTTACATAAATACCAAAAGGGATGCCATTATGGAATGGGAAACATTTTACAAAATGGATTTTATTTTTCATTAAACATCATTCCCCTCTCTCCAGTCTTGATTTCCATGCAAGTCTGACATGCATAAACATCACAGAGGATATGAATTCTTTCTAGTAGCAAAAAAAGGTGATAGTTGGAAACGTGGACAGAGTAGTTTGTGTGTCAGTGTAATTTTTGTTTTTCATATTAAGGCATTGTGCCCTGCCCCTCTGTAGTATTCACGTATAATTTCATTCTTACACATATATGTTCACCTACAAAACCTTGCAACCTGCATATATGCTATGGAAGAATTGGGGTGTGTGTATTTTTTAAGTAAATTAAGTTATTCGGCCCCAGCCTTATCTCTTCTCCCTTTCCTTCCTCTATCTGCGTCACACAACCTCCACCCACTCCGTGCCCTCTTTTTAAATTTTGAACATTGATGTTAGCACAGATAAAGGGATTAAAACAGAAAGAAAGGAAAAAAGATGATTAAAAGAGATAAAGAATACAAAGGGGAGAAAGTTAAATTATAGCTTAAGAAAAGATTCTGGGATGTTTTGTACTTGAGAAAGATAGTTAATGGGGAATGGACATCAAAACTGATTTTTTAAATAGTTGATTCCTCCGAAGACCTGACTCTACTATTTACTAAATGAGGGCATTTCAGCTTTGAGAGTCGCAGAGTTATGCAATACATAAATAACACAGTTGATAGATTGAAGAGAGTAATCAACTCCATTGCACCCACAGTGCAAATGGTAGAAGTAATGATTATGGTTATAGTCACAAAGGTTTCATCTTGATTACAAACCTTTTTCTGCTTTTCAATATATAATTCATGGACACTGTGTCCTAAAGCAGATCACTACAAGACAGTGAAATTTTTTCCTAAAAAATAATACATAAGTTGGAATTACATTTCACTCTAGAGAGCCACACCTCTGAATCATAGATAACACCATACCATAATAAAGTTACAACAAGCTTATGTATGCATTTACAAAAAAATGTAAGCATACTTTTAACTATAGCTTGATATATCACAAGAATAATATAAATCACAACTGTTATAATCATAATTAAAGAATTAAATGATATTAATCTGAAGAGCAGTCTTGTAAAAATGGTGCTCTCCTTTTCGCTGATCTCTCAACTCAAGTCCAGATTTCCTATCTCCAACATGTAATCAACTGCAATCAGAACTGGAAAAATAGAGATACCAAGAGTCTGGATGATCTAGCTTAACTTGGTCACACTCCATAAACTGGTCAAGAATATTATAAATTTATTACTCTCTCCAGTCTATCATACAAGTATTAGTTGAACATGAACTTCAAGTACTATCCTTACCAATGTCCTTTGCAATATTTTCATATAATATTTATTCAGTACATTTTCTTGAACACCTATTATGTGCCAAAAACTGTGCTATAATAAATAAGACATGATCCCTCAAGGAGTCACCAATTCAATGGGAGATTCCTAAATAGATAAAAATGTAATGAGTCAAGAGAGCAACTAAAGGTGGGATTTCAGACACTACAACAGGTGGTGAGAAATAATTTTTTAAGGTAGGCATTCCTTCCAGTTCCCTCTCAACTCACACTTCCTAGATGGCCAAGACTTTGGATTTGCTGCTGTTTTTATTAAATATATAGTTCCTCTTAGCTCTTCAAATTGATATTATATTCAATTGTAAAGAACATTAAACTATATAAACAATATTGGCCTGACCTAAATATTTTAGGGTGCCTCTTCCTGTCCACAATCACATCAAATTCTTCCAAAGATCTCTATTCTGAGGGCAAAAGAAGAAATGGCACATATAATTCAAGTCCTTAGAAAAATCAAAAGAGGAAATTGAATGCTTATATTAATTATATTTCTTTTAAGAACAAACCTGGTACACATACATATTATATATATTCATTTGTATACTCTTTTATATGTATAGTACATTTCTTTATTTAAAATTTTAAAATAATTTTTTAATCAGCTTAAAGGAGCAAAAAACATACAATGGAGAAAAAAAGGCTCTTCAATAAATGGTGCTGGGAAAATTGGAAAGCCATGTAAAGAGAATGAAACTAGACTTCTGTCATCGAATACCCAAATTAACTCAAAGTGGATCAAAGACCTAAACATAAGACCTGAAACAATAAATTGCACAGAAAAAAAGTATAGGTACTAAACTCATGGACCTTAGGTTCAAAGAGGATTTTATCAATTAGACCTCAAAGGCCAGGGAAGTAAAAGCAAAAATAAATTAATGGAACCATGTCAAAATAAAAGTGTCTGCATGCGGGAGACCAGCTCCTGCACATCCAGGGGTTCCCTCAAATGGAGACGGCGTCGGGGAGGAAAGAACCTGCAGAGACACAGGAGCACTTTCAAGAATTAATGTCTCACTTTATTTTTACAGCCTGTCCTGTTTATACTGGGCAGGTAACTATTTACATCATTGAGCTGTTTTTCCCAAAGTTGTTTTTCCAAGTTTAAACCTTTACCCATTAGGAAATTGTTTTATACATAGTTTCAATGTTCCTTCCTTCCCAGGGTCTATTTTCCTGAGAAGTTTGTTTTTCTCAGAGTTTTAGTTCCTCACTATGTTTCTATTACAGGGTACAGCCCGATCTGTTCTTCACTAATGACTAACTTATCCTAACTACGTTTCAATTTCTTCCATAATGGCCAGAGCTGTTCCTGCCTTGGCACTTAAAGGATGTTTACTACTTAGCAACTGTTTCAAACACTACTGGCTAAACAGGACCATAAGAATTATAAGGTGCATAACTTATCTATCACTAAGAATCTATCATTAAGAAACTAACAGTAAAACAGAATTATCGTAATATGTCCAAAACTCACTTATTTGGTTAAAGTAAATAATCAATATAAGAAGTGGTGTCAGATCTTTATCCTACTGGGGGCATCCAAAGGGGAATTCAAATTTTCCAAAACATAAAGCAGTATCTGTTTCTCAGCCAGAGCTTCAGGATTTGTCACAATAGCAGTGTGATAGGCCATGTCAGACACTGAGGTGCAGCCGGCTCCCAACATGTGCACAGCAAAAGAAACCATAAACAAAACAAAGAGGCAACCAACCAAATGGGAGAGGAGACTTGCAAACAACACCTCTGATAAGGGGCTAATATAAAGAACTCGTACAACTCAACAACAAAAAAAGCAAACAGTCCAATTAAAAAATGTATGACTTAACGCATATGTGGCATATAAAATTGAAAGCAACAAGCAAACAAAAAAAAATCATAGACTCAGACAACGATTTAGTAGTTAACAGAGGGTAAGA